AATCTTAGAATACGAAAACATTGGTGAATGCCACAAATTCTCCTAAATCACTCGTACGCACAACTTAAGAACAAATCTGTGCGTACGAACAGTTTTTGCACGAGGCCCAATGTTCTTTGTGCATTTTTAAAAATAAAAACCAAATTAACAATTTAGTGAAAATTTTTGAGGACCCCCAAGATACATTTCGCAGACCCCTGGGCGTCCGGGGTCCCTAGTTTGAGAACCTCTGTACAGGACGTGTAGTGCATTCCAGTAGTCCTGGGAAGTGGTAATTTCCCTGTTCCCATTGGTAGATTTAAACTGGAACGCTCCTGTTGTGCTATGATGCAGTTTACTTGGCATCTGAAAATGCATTTCCTCAAAGGTGTTTTTAATCTGAGAAGAGCTTCACTGAGTGAGAACTAATGTTGAGAGCTCAGCAGACAGTTAGGTTTCACTTTCACTTTTGCTCCGTTACTGCCGAGAGCCTGCAGGAGTCATGGGCGGGGTGTGTGGGGAGGGGGTTGGGGGTGCGCTCTGCCATGAGGAAGTTCAGCTTAAAGACACGTCCCAGGGGTGTTTCTGGTCCCCACCTGTCGTTTTGCTCCTCAGCATGGCTTCATAAAAACTCTGCAGGATTTCTCAAACATGCATGAATGAGTCAGAGCAAGGCTTTGGACATGTTTTTATGAGAGTATAACATTATAACATGATATAAAACTCAAAAAAGTTGATTTTACCTGATATTGCCCCTTTAAACAAATATCAAGATTAGCCTGAAATATTATAAATCTGTTTAAAAACAAACATTTCTTTGATCAAAAATATGTTATTTTATTTATTTTCATTTAACCCTGTATTTATCCAGGTAAACTGTTTGAGAACCACTTCTCATTTACAAACACGACCCGTCCAAAGCGTCTGCATGAATAAATAAAACTATACAATACAACACAGAGCATACAACGAACACACATTTACATTAAAAGACATAAATGCATAAAGAAGAAAAAGAAAAAGTGCTGAAGTGTGTTTTCAGGATTGTCAGCACAGCATTCAGTGTTTCTGGATGTTCAGCTGCATTTGGTGGCCTGAGTGAAGGAAGCTTTATTGCAGAATAGGAAGGCCAGGCTGGCTTTAACTTTGTGTGGTGAATGAAAGGGATGAAGCCAACCAGATGTCCAGGTGTTTCTACGTTTTGACACTCCAGAGCCGAGCAGCTCCAGGTGATCGTGGACGGAGCCGAGTTGAGTTTTTGTTCAGGTGTTTAAATAAAAAGTGTATTTTGTGTTTTCTTGCAGAAGAGAGGGAAAAGCAGAAAACCACATCGACCCAAGTGGAAACAGGAAACGAGAGACAAAGACTGACTTCATCTGAAGGTGAAAAGTCGACTGAAAAGAGTGAGTCAGTATTATACTGTGTAACATATAATCCTGTGTACATTAATCACATCTAGTTTTTTATGTGTTCATATATTACTGTATGTGGGGATGACAGGTGAGTGTTCTCTGCTGATAAATGAAAACCAGTCAGTGGTGATAAATCAGTTCAGAACGTCAACAGTTCTGTTCAGGTGCAGCTTCGCTGCAAATAAATCTGCAAAAATCCAAACTGTCATCGCAGCGTCGAGAAGAACAAAAACAAACCACAACGTTTTTCCATCACGATGATTTAAAGGGGCAATATCATGTAAAATCAACTTTTTTGAGTTTTATTTCATGTTATAATGTTCTCCTCTCATAAAAACATGCCCAAAGCCTTGCTCTGACTCATTCATCATGTTTGAGAAATCCTGCAGTGTTTTTATGAAGCCATGCTGAGGAGCAAAACGACAGGTGGGGACCAGAAACACCCCTGGGACGTGTCTTTAAGCCAAACTTCCTCATAATGGAGCGCACCCCCTCCCCACACACCCCGCCCATGACTCCTGCAGACTCTCGGCAGTAACAGAATAAAGTGAAAGTGAAACCTAACTG